CATAGTCCATTCCATGTTAGGACCGGAATCGGAAAGAAATCACGCTAGCACCATTAACATTTCAGTAGCGATCAGAAAATGCTTGCGGTACCTTTCCTAAAAAACCAAGCTGGCCCAAGTTAGCACGCGCCCGAGCGGCCGGCTGAATACCCTTCGCTCGGGTTGGGGATCAATTTGACCGCGAGAGATCTCAAAAACTTAGCTAGAGGCACCGAATTAACAGGGTAGATTGGTCTGTACGTGAACTCACTTGTGTCAGGATTTTAGGCCCCTATGTCATAGCCTTGGGAACAAACAAGGGCAAACTTCACATTGCTGTCCAAGAGCCCCCAGAACTCCTCATGCAACCACCGTGAAGCCAAATACCTGTTCTAAGCAAAAGGTCAGCGAGATCAGCGACCTCTTTTCACTTTTGTAAGGTCAATGTGACCAAACGCCTGCGAGATTGCTCCTATTTTGCCATTCGAATATGAATCAGGGATTCAAAAGACGCAATATTTTTCTGAAAAAGTTGGCGACCTGGGTCATTTTAGGTCAGCGACCTATTCTGACCCTAAAAAAGCACACGGAACATGTCTGTTGCCGTCCCTATCATTCCTAAATTCGAGATGAGCACCAGAAAGTTTCTTATAAAACCAAGCTCTTAAGTAAAACCCAATTTCATTTTGACCTCGTTTTGACCTTCATACCCGACCATATGTCAAAGGAATTGATTGTAATGCTACATTCGATGGGTTTATTGCCTAAAAACTATCTCAGATATGGATGACATCGTTGAACACGCCGTTGTCGCATCACATTGAACGATTCCCTTGAAATGCTCTTCGCTGACAACCATGGCTTGACTTTGACGTGCCGTAGGCCAGCGATCTTACAAGGTGCATATAATTATTACATAAAAAGATCTGCTATCTAATTCTCTGCACCTGTGCAGAGTTAAGCGTGGCTGCGCCGCAACAATCGGAAATCATTTTCCTGCGAAGATTTTTCCGGACTAATTTTCGAATGGCATGTTGACACCGCGCCCAGCTTTGCATATCTGTAAGCAACTGAATTGCAGATTTTTTCGGATAAGAAATACGTGTACCTTGAAAGGTCCATGACCTATGGCAGGTTAAAATCAGGCTGTGGCTGTCAGCGAAGGTCATTTCTAGGGTTTCGTTTAATCTAATGCGACAACGAATTGTAAGCCGAGGCCATGCATCTCTGAGATAGTCCCTTAAGCAATAGACGTTTTAAGGGTCGTAGTAGGCTACTGACCTAGCATGATCCAGGTCATAATTTTGCTTTTGGGAACATACCGCTTATGGTAATTCCTGACGCTTATTTGAATGGCAGAATAGAAGAAATTTGGTAGGTTTTTGGTCACCTTGACCTGCTAAAGGTCAAACAAGTTCATTGGCTTAAAATGAACAAGATTGACGTTTTGCTTAGAACAGGCATCTAGGCCCATGGCGGTTGCATGGAGAAGTCCAGCAGCACTCAAGACACCAATCTGAAGTTTGACATTGTATGACGTTATCTGATCCTCAAGGTAATGACCTAAGACCTTTCAACCCTACAAAAGCAGCTCACATACGGGCCAACCCATCCCGTGAATTTTGCGTCTCTAGCTATTTTAGTTTTCGAGAACTCACGGGGCCATATTGACCCCTCCCCCACCCCTCACCCAAGCGAAGGTTATTCAACCGGGCACGTGTTAACCCTTGCCCTACAACGGGACCCGGGGGGCTGTTCACCCGACGCACCGCTGCATACCAGCGTGCCGCTCGGGCGGCGGCGGCGGGCGCGCTTGATGTGCCGGGTATCTGCTCGTCGGTGACACACAGGGTCTTCTCGTATCGCGCGGCCCCATCCTGGAGCCCGCCGCTGACCTGGATCATCGCCTCTCGCATCCGCGAGGAGCTTCGCACCAGACTCAACAATGTGCTTGCCGTTCCGCAACTTTTTTGATTAATTATTTTTTTTCTACAGGAGTGCCTGTCCCGATGTCCCGATGTTTCGATGCCCCAAGGTCGCTGCTTGTCCATCCCGGTGGCTCAGCTGACTAGAGCGCCTGCCCTCCTCTGCCCACCCGTGGCGGGGTGGGCTCGAGTCGCTTTAGGTGCTCGCTGTTTGCCCTTGACAGGTAAATAATAGGCCCATGTGGCCCGGGACCCAACATGACCTCTGAAGTCAGCGCACCCCCAAAAAACAACAACAGGTATGGCCTGCGGCCGATGGCAGCGGCCTCGCTAAAGGTCAGGAAACATCAGATGAAGCGTGCCATTACGGCACGGTTCACCTGAGCATCCATCTGAGCAGCGGCAGCATTACGGCACGTTCAGCTTTCGCTACCAAATTCTGCCGATGACCTGGGATAGTGCAATCATATGGTAGGGGCCGGGGCTCACGCAATAAGCAAAGGAATATTTAGCATGAGCTCTTATCCTAGAAATCCATCCACTCAAAAAACTGGATTGAATCTTTAAAGACAAAAGAGTGAACGTGAACGATGGAGCGATCAAAAATGTCCGAATGTGGTCGTGTTGTCGTCATTTTTTGAAATATTGGACATTTTATGAATGACATGTTTTTGTTTCGAATGAAACAACAAGCGAATTGGAGTGATTTATGAATGATATGAACTGGAATGTTTATTTGACATTGCTACCACCATTTTAAAATAGAAACGCATACGCAAGGCGGCCATTTTAAAAAGAACATTACATAAACTGTTACCACACAACTTGCCTTCATCAGCATCACATGTCGGTTGACCACGGCCGTCACTTGACGTGAACTGGAAATCCAAAGCAATAGGAAACAAAAACAAAAATGCTGCACTTACATTGCCTGGGTATGAAAACCATGGTCCTAGAAGCATTAAAAAAGAGATAGTGCATTGACTGATGCCAAATTGTATGTTCTGCATCGTTTATTGATTACCCATGAAGGGCAAGGCCTAAACTTGTTATCTTTATTTCAATAGCTCTTAGAAATAGCCAATGCCAACCATGCGCTCATAGGCTAAACTAAAACCTGCGCAGTGTGCTTCACCAATTACCGGGAGTTGCTACTTAAATGCAAGGTTCTTTGCGTAAATGAGGACGAAGTTCCTGAGAATGGATAAATCATCCAGGCGAAGGTAAATAACTCTGACGTACATCCTTGGCAAGTTAGCCTACGAAAACCACGGTCAAATGTGGCAAAAGTTCTGGGATGTCTATATACTTTCCCAGATGGACACAAATCCAAAAGTATTGGTCGCGCGGGTACAATGCCTCTTGAACCGCAAGTAATGCAAAGCTCGATATAAACAAATGCATCATTTGCATCAATGGCTGGAGACTGTGGTGATCGGAATCTGCTGCCAGCGCTGACGAGCTTCTTAATCGGTGGGTCATTCGTTGACGCGGACGATACGTTCATGATATGGGCAGAGCATTACCGTTTAAAAGCATTTTGGCGTCATCCAATCTCCCTCTCTCTCTCTCTCTCTCTCTCTCTCTCTCTCTCTCTCTCTCTCTCTCTCTCTCTCTCTCCTCTCTCTCTCTCTCTCTCTCTCTCTCTCTCTCTCTCCCTCTCTCTCTCTCTCTCCTTAACACTCAGTGATTTCGGCACTCTGTCAATCAATAACTGAAAAAGCCAATCGCTTGGGCGAGAGCACATAGGGCGTGGCTGATGGCAGGGGCTATCCCACTGATGCAAAACAAAAACAGCGATGGGCTCAGACTATGCCCGCTGCTGATCTACCTTATCATTTAGCATTTGCCAGGAGGTGATACGTATTCATCTACCTGACCAATCAACGAGACCAAATGGCCTGTCTGATGCCACATCAGAGGCACCGATAATCTACCGCTTACTATCCTTCCGTTGGATCACGCATCATGCTGTCAGATGTCTGCAGAATTTGTGTACCGTAGGATGTATTCATGAGACTGATACAAGAGAAACCTCGTAGCATTTAAAGCAAGGGTTTCGATTTGTATTCTTTCGTGAGGATCTTGGCGCTCCCAATGTCGAATGGGGCACCAACATTGCTGGCGTGGGCCCCCCAATGTTTTTGGCTGGAATGCTAAATAAAACGTAGGTAAAAGATAGCCACAACAAAAAGACTATCTTCTTTGACCTTTCTGCGTTGTTGTGTCTCGTACTACTCTCATAACAAAAAGTCATGGTCGCTCTCACCAGTAGATACAAATCGTAACAACTGAGCAGATAAACGATGCAATGAACTTTACATACCTAGGGACGTAAGACACCCAATGGTGTGAGGTTAAAGTAAAAAGCTCTGAAACATGGGGATGACCTAAGTCCTTCGTGACTAACCTCATCCCCGTTCCACACAACCAAAATGCGTGCTGCCTCCCATGACCGCCATAGAAGAGCACCATTGGCGCCCTGAAGTGGCCTCTAAAGGGGCGCCTTCAGTTGCCGATCAGAGGAGGCGCGTGCGTCCAGTGACTGTTCCTTGGATCTACCCCGGCATGGCTTCTATGCTGCTTGAATTAAATACTTTTTATAGACTATGCAAATGTTAAAAGCATATATTGCCTTTATTCAAAATGAAGTGGGCTAGATCCAGTGAAAACAAAATGGGCGAAGGTAGGTAGGTAGGTTGTCAGGCCTTCGGTTCGGCCGCCAATAATTTCAAAAAAATTTACACCTCTGGCTTAAAACATAAGCAACTGGACTTCTTCGTGCGCAACCAAAAAGGGGAGTCATCAAAAATATCGGTGAAGTGTGCCGGTGTTCGTGCCTGGGCACCGCGTGTCATGCCCGGTCTTTGGCTAGCCGTCTGCGGACCTTCAACGCACAATGCGCTGCCCGCGGGGCACCGAGCCGCAGTGTGATCACCTCCCATCACTCCGATGATAGGGCAGATTATGACAACATTACTTCTCGCCTCCCGACGCCGGCTGACGGCCGCAGTCAGCTGGCCGGCCAGCTGACTGCGGCCGTGGCCGCCGCCGCCGCTCCAGCAGAAGGCTGGCAGACGCCGCTCGAAGCTGACCGCGGCCGATCGCCCGATCGTGCTGCTCGAGAGGAGCGGTGAGGCGTGCAGTCGCGACCGTCAACTCCGGGCCGCGCGCGGTGTGCGACGCTCCGGCGGCCACAGGGTTCGGTGGAATGTGCCGGCCGGCCGGCTAGGCCACCTCCGTCAGAGACGTGCCGCCGACGTGAGCAGCGGGGACGGATCGGCAGTGGCGACGCTGGTGACTGTGCCGAGACCGCCGGTTCGCTGCTGACCCCTGGGGGACTGTGGCATGGAGAAGAGGTTCGACAAGATGGAGAAGACGATGGATAAGGTGGAGACGAGGGTATCGCAGCTGGCCAACTCGACGATCCGCCGCGCGCCGATGCTGGGGCGCAAGATCACGCGCCGCCTCTCCATGGTGACCCGAGTGCCTTCGCTGCTGGTCAACCGGAACTACCAGGTGACCGGATCGCGCGAGTCGATCCGGATCAGGCCGCCGCGACCCAAGAAGGTGCGCTCGTTCCACGTGACGGTGGTGCTGCCCGACGAGACCCAGCGCACGGTAAGTTCCGTGCGGAGAGGCGGCTCCTGGCGGGTGAGCGGCGGAGGGCGGGCCGCTCGAGCGATGTCTCACCAACCCTGTCGCGGTGTACTGGACACAGTTAGCATTTGGAGGCTACAAATACGTGAGATTCCCAAGCGAATGTCACCTGGGATATGAATGTGCTGAGGGCAAAAATGTTCGATAGTTCATGGCTGAAACGAGCTGTTTATGTGCCATCACATCAGAGCTTAAATGACGGGTCAACTCCGTATTTTTGCCTCATTTTGCAACAGAAATGTGTGTTGTATGCACTTAACAACAAGCCCGTAATATGCACTGCTTGATACAGCGTTCCTGGCACGTCCCCGGCTTATGGCTTTTGTTTTCATCGTCGTTGAACAAAAACCCTGCCGCTACTGATTTTTGGATTATGCATGCTTTCATAACGGGGATGTCACATGAACCTGCGTTGGCTCCGCTGTCCGTGTTCAGTTACAAATGAGGACACAGTGCGGAATGCCCTCGCGGTGCGTGGGCTCGGGACTCGGCGCCCTGGTGTTTTTGTACAGCTGTCCGCAGATCCGGCTCGATTCAGCGTAGCATTACTCGAGGCCCCACCAACAACGCTAGCTACTGGACACCTGATTTGTTTCCGCACTGCTCAGGCAAGAAAACGGGCAAATTTTGCGCCATGTTTCATGCGTTTCTAATGCGTCGTCCTGTCCGACGAGCGTGAAAAATGAGTAGAAACTGGGTGAATTGAGGGAAGGAATCAGTCACAAAGTAAAATGTATGGTTGTAGAGTTTTTAGACTGTCCTGCCAAACTAGCAGTTTACTCGGCAAACATGGCGTGAAAAACAGTGAATTTAAAATTCTCTCAGCGTCGTTTCACTCATGAAACATAACCATATAAGCTACGGCAACTGAGAAAAGCCCGGGTTCAGGACAGTAGTATGCCATTTTCCACTTCACTTCTATTTCTGATCATTTTCCTTCACGGCATTTTGGATGTCCAGTGGTTGTGGTCCTGGACTGCGCCAAGTATCGAAGGCCGGCGTCGTCTCCCCGGCCGGCGCCAGGCTGACTGCGGCAACTGTGCACGCACCGTGCACGAGCTCTGCTCAGCTGCTCGGCACGGCAGACGCGCTGGATATGGCACGACAGTAGGGAGTCGTTGGTTCTCCAGGCGCTGGACGGCTGGCCCATCCCCGGTAGAGGTCGGTCTGGGTCAGTCGTCGCCAGGCGGCCGCGGGTCGGGAAGTCGAGCGCCTACCGAAGGCCGTCGCGTGAGGAGGTTCGCTGCCTTGATCCAGGGATGGACAGATGCAGGACTCATAATCCGCAGCACTGGAAAGACATTGTAAGTCCCAGACCACGACAGTTGCGTGGCCCAATCGAAATGAAAGGGCAGATTTAAGGCCAGCAAGCAACTGGCCACCTAGTGACGATTCGGCACGTAGCGGCCGATTTGTGACACTGTATGCCACAGAAAATATCCCTCTGTGGCTCTGCATGACAATACAGGCCGGATACAGCCGCACGCTTCTTTGATGTCGAGTTCAGGATGTGCACGACAAACTCCGCTTAACACTGCATTAGAAGTGCAGAAATTACCCCGACCAGAGTCATGTTATTCATAGCAAAACCATTCGGAACAAAATGATAACGACTAATAAGTACAGTGGCCGCCAATTCCGCGGCTGCGTTGTGGGAGTCCGGGACGTCCAGGACGCCGCCTCCTGTGTATTAGTGTGGGATAGTTGGACGGCTGGCCGGCCGGCCGCGGCTGACTCCGTGGGATCCCGGATATCCTCGGTCCTGGGACGTTCGCATGTCGTCTGTGCTGAGCAGCCGAAGGCTTGGCTGGTCTCTGCTGAGGAGGGCAGACAGGGCTGGTCTGTGCTGAGGAGGGCAGACGGAGCTGGTCTGTGCTGAGGAGGGCAGACGGGGCTGGTCTGTGCTGAGGATGGCAGACGGGGCTGGTCTGTGCTGAGGAGTGTAGTCGGAGCTGATCTGCGCTGAGGAGGGGAGACCAGGCTGGTCTGTGCTAGAGAGCTGGAGACTAGGTTCGTCTGTGCTGACTAGGGGGAGACTAGGCTGGTCTGTATTGTGGAGGGGGAGACTAGGCTGGTCTGTGCTGAGGATCTGCGGACTGAGCTAGTCCGCGCTGTAAAGAGTGAAGTAAGAGAGCTGTCTTCTGTCAATCTTCTTGAGCGGCAGCAGAGCTGTCTTCCGAGGGCATTGCTCCCCACGCTGTACCGCGGGACAGTATGTCCCCTGTCCCGCTCTCGAACAACAGTATTCAGTATCGTATTTCGCCGGACGGCATCGTGTCCTGTCATCTGGCCTCCGTGCGGTATGCCAGCATACCCTGAGGTCTATAGCGCGTGATGCCCGTCCGTGTACCTGCCTGATGGGGCGCAGGGCGACGGTGCCCGGGTCCGCTCCGGGCTCGCAGAGCCGGTCGGAAGCGCGCTCCGTGATGCGTGACCGGCCAGATGGAGCGGCGGCGGCGGCGGCGGCGGCGGCGCTGCCGACGGACACTGAACCGCCGCCTGCCGAGCGACGGGAACCACGGCTAATGGCCCCGTGTCCGCCGGCCCGGCCGGCCGTCGGTCAGCCGACTCCAGATGCTCCCTGCTCAGGGACTGCAGTGCTTGAGCAACGCAGACGGTCAGGGCCGAAGCACGCGCGTCTTGTGAGTGAGCATGAGTGGAGACGCGGCCATAAAGAAAGAACGCGAATCGCTTAGAGCACAGTCTACGATTGCGCGATTTGGTGCGCCATTGGCGACTGGGGTGACACGCCCCTCCGTTACGTCGAATCTCTGGCCAACTGAACCCGCACGTCAATAACCGATTCGCTTGAATAACCAATCAGCCAGCGGAGCGGGGCCCCGCGGTGGCCGCAGCCCGGCTGATGGCACGCTCATCGAAGCGCGCACAAACATAAATCGGCCCGCTGAGATGGCATGACTGAATACAGACCACACATGGTGATTGGCTTGATCACGTAGATGCATGCGGTGAGCACGTCGCGGGATGACAGGCTAATGACGGCATCATGGGCTGTCGCTCACGGAGCAAAGGGAATGCTGTGATCCGGCATGGTGCTTTTCACCGAATGGAATGGAACACACTAGACCTGTGCTTCTGTAAGTTCCAAGCGTGCCCTGCGCCCGCCGTATGGCCGTGTCCTGCTCAGGTCAGTGGCCCTGACGAGTCAGACAGCAGCACGGTCTCGCGGTCGGTCGGTCGGCCGGGGGTGGCGGCCTGCTCAGTCAGGCGTGCTCCAATCTCGGCCGGCCGGTCCGCGCCTCTTCATCGGCCGCACCTCTCCAGGGGCGGGGCCGACCCGACCCCGTGTGGCGGCCGTCCCCAGCCGACCTGTGCAAAGTGTGGAAGGACGGCAGGCGAGCGATGGCCGCTGGTGTACACAAACGGCAAGTCGAACAGCCGGTCATCAGTCACTCGCTCAGAGTGACGGCTCAGAATGACGTCATCAATCACTCGCTCAGCAACACGTTGACCGCTGCCTGTGGCAATGTGAGCGAGAGCACAGGGCGTATTGGCTATCTGACCAAACGAACTGCGTGCTCCTGCTGTCTGAATGCTTGCTGCTTGTGCTCTACAGCGATCACAAAACAAAACTTCAGCTGCAAAATTGCACAAAAAAAACGATAACAAAACTTCACAAGTCACAAAACCTCAGCAGTGCCGAGTGTCGTTCTCCGTCGGACCGCATGCGTCCCACCCCGTCCACGGATCCGCCATCGAGCTGGCGCCCACTCCGCCCGCCTGGGCCGCGCTAATGTGAGAACGTCCACTCTGGCGTGGAATTAAAGCACCGGCAATCATAAATCGCCGTCTTCCGCGACGGAAAAAACAAGCGTGCGCGCGGGCCCTGGGACGTTATTCCATTAGTGGCCGGGACCGGCGGCGGACGGAGAGCCTCCACCGGCGGCTCCGAACACGACTGACGCACTCTGATTGGCCATCACGCCCGCCGGCCCTGGCCAGCTGATGGTCGGACTCTCTCCTGGCTCTGTCCCGGCTGTCCTGTCTGTCCTGGAGACTTGGCTGTCCTGGCCGGTCTCAACGCTTTTTCAATAGCAGCGCACGGAATAGGCGTCTTGTTTTTCCACTTCGTCTTAACCTACTGCGGTGCGCAATCCTACAGCCCACGTAATCTGCTGCACAGTTCATGTTCATCGGCGCACAATATTTTTGTAAGGAGGGATCGACCTCGAGCAGCTGGCGACTTGTGTTGTCATTTTAACTAGCTAGCGAGCAGCGGCTACAAACCTTGATATCTGTATTGCCTTTCTCGCGACCCTCACATGTCTCGTTCTGATGGGCTGGAGTGAGCGATGCGAACGGGCGCTGTATCACCGACACGTGTCGCTCCGTCAAGAACGCTCAGAGCAGCAGCGCGACTGATCAGTTTCGTCGGCGCCCAACGGAGCCGCTGGGGTCGGCTTTTCCTCGGAGAGCCCCTGGCTGGTGGACGGGCGACGTCAGCAGCCGCGTCGGATCGGTCGCGTGGGCGACAGGACCCGCTGCCGACCGGCGCCAGAGCCACTGACCTCCTACGACGCCCTCGGCCCGGCCGGCGCCGCGCCCGCGCAGCCGCGCCACGCTCGGCTCCGGCGCGCGCGCGAGGCGCCGCACAAAAACGCCACGATCATATCGGATTCAATGAAGGCCGGCCGTGATTAGGGCCGCGGGAGTGCAAGGCGGAAACAATGGCCGCCAGCCGATTATCATTGAAGGAGATGACTCGAGACCGGCGGTCGCAGGGCTCAGAGACGCGCCCGACCGATCTCCTGGGAGAACGGTGGGCCGGAGATTTAACGCCATGTCTGCGCCGCGTGACATGGCCTCCCATACATAGAACATAATTCATGTAGAACTCTGCGGTAGTTTCAGACCAGACAACAATGCAAAAGTCTTTGACAATGGGATTTAATGAAGTCCTGAGGCCTTTTGGCTAGTTTGACGCGAGTACGAAGCTGCGC